TGAGCAATGATTTTGAATTCATTTAAGATGAAACATCGGCAACTTCAACCTTTTCTCAAGATGTTGATGTTATCATGATGTTATCTGTTGGTCCAGTTGTGAGGATTTGGGCTTTCTGTACATTGAGTTGTAAACCATACTGAAGGCTGCGGCCTTGGCTTTCATCAGCAAGTGCCTTAAGTCCTCCTCACTTTCAGCAAGCAGGGTTGTGTCATCTGAGTATCCCAGATTGTCAATAAGCCTTCCTCCAGTCCTGATACCCAATTCTTCTTCAGATAGTCTAGCTTCTCTGATTATTTGTTCAGCCTACAGATTGAATGAGTACGGAGAGAGGATACAACCCGTGCACGCTTTTCATGATTTTAAACCATGAAGTATTTCCTTGTTCTGTTCCCACAACTGCCTCTTGATCCATATATAGGTTCTACATGAGCACAGTGAAATGTTCTGGGATTCCCATGCTTCTCAAGGTATCCATGATTTCCATAGTTTGTTATGATTCACCACAGTGGAAAGCCTTTGCATAGTCCATAAAGCACATGTAAACATTTTTCTGGCTTCATCTGCTTTCAGCCAAGATCCATCTGATGTTAGAAATGATATGCCTCTTGCCAAGATTTTTTTCTGAATATGGCTTGAAGGGGCAACTGTTCCCTGTTAAAGTAGTACTGTAATTATTGCTGAAAAGCTTAGTTGTGTGTGACACCGATGATACTGTTCACTAATTTCTGCATTCTGTGGTATCACCATTCACTAGAATGGGCACAAATACGGATCTCTTTCAGTCAGTTGGCCAGGTAGCTGTTTCTTCCAGTTTCTTGGTATAGTTGAGTAAGTACTTGTGTTAGTCTGGGTAGACTAGAGAAACAAATCCATGGACACACATATGTGTATAAGACAGAGATTTATATACAAGAGCAATTGAACATTGAGAAAACATCCCAGCCCAGTTCAGATCAAGTCCCTAAGTCTGCTATTAGCCCATATGTCTGATACCCATCCTCTTCAGACTCATGAAACACATGCAATGATGCTGAATGTTGAAGATCACAGGCCAGTGGATAGAAAGTCTTTGGATCCAGTGGCATTGGAAACATCTCTGCTCTGGCAGGGGTCTCTGCATGAGGTTGGGTCCATGTGTCTTATCAGCTGCTATGACTCCCAGGGTGTGAGCTGAGAGTCTCCCACCTCCAAGAAGGAAATACCAGATTTCCCAGAATTCTCAGGAGAAGGCTATGCTCATACAGAAGCCTCCTTGGCTATGATCCAATTGACAGACTAGACTGACTCTACCCCTTCACTCGTAATCCTCTCAAATGGACAATTATATAACTACCACAGTACTTCCAATGCTTTATCAGTCTGCTGAAACATTTCAATGAGTATTCTATCAATTCCTGGAGCCTTGTTTTCCACCAATGTCTTCAGTGCCGTTTGGACTTCTTCCTTCGGTACCATTGATTCTTGATCATAAATTCTACCTCTTAAAATGATTGAACATCAACCAATTCTTTTTGATAGGACGGAATAGGGGACCCATCTCTGAAGGATTAGTATTGACACCCTTAATGCATAGCTTCTTTATATTCAAGTTGTTTTAAGAGTTCGAGGGTAGAGAGATGGGACGGATGACCACCAGAGAACAAACTTGGGAAGAACTCCTCAGCTACTGTCGGGAAGGTTTCACTAGTGGGGGAAATAGTTTGCACCCCTGGACGCAAGAAAACCAATGTAAAAGCTAAGTACACCAAAGTTTCTTCAAGTGAGAGATCAGCAGTAAATGCAAACAAACGTCCCTTTATTCTTGACTTGCCATTTCTGTGCACCTCCTACTCCCTGGCACAAGCCAAGTCTTCCCAGCCTGTGTGTCAACCCAGCCTGCCAAACCTCTTACCTTGCTCACCTCTCGGGGCCCTGCATGGATAGCAGACCTTGTGGGGAACTTGGTGACGACATTCGCGGTACCCAAGCAACACTTTTGCCATTTTTTTCCTGTTTTCTCCTCTCCTTCCCCCTGCTCCACCATGTGGCAGATATGCTCACACAATAACACTACCAAAAGAGTAGGAATCTCCACTCACAAGAATGTTTATTTTTAAATTTTCTTTTCTTTCATTTCTGTATTTTTAATCTATTATAAATCTATTTAAACCTATTATAATAATATAGAATTTTTCATCTATTATAGGTACTGCTTGGCCATGGAAGGAGTCCCCTCCCTGGAGATAAAATACTTTACATCTGCTCCCACCCTGTGGCTCACTCCCAACCAGTCAGAAGTACCTGCCAAAGTTCCTCACTGTCTGGAAGTTGTCTTTATTTGTCAATATGAATGATCTTCTTGGCTTTCAGCAGGGCAGTTCTTTGGGCTCTAGTCATGTTTTCCTAGCCATCACATTACGAGAGCTGTCCCTAGATAAATTTTAGCATTTGGTCCCTATGGAGGCTCCGTGTAGAGGTCACCACTGATAACTACAGTGCTCATGCCTGTGTGGGCGGACACTGGACAGATTTTCCGTGGAGCTCAGCAATGTGGACAGGCAGGTGATGGCACCTGCTCAGGCTGCTGCTAACAACAGTCTACATGAGACCAGGCAGAAGGAGCCCAGGAGAGCGTCCAGAGCAGTCAGCTTTCTCTCGGCTCTATCCAGGCGTGGTCACTATGGGAGGCCTTGGCAGTTCTTCCCAGCTTAGCTCTCCCAAAGTGGGGTAAGTTTCAGTTTCTGGTCAAAACAGAGTGAAGTCTGTGCATCTGTAATCCTTTCTACTAATGAAGAAATGCATGTAACCCAAACCGAACCAACGGCCATGGAGTAGATTCCAACTCATAGCAACTCTACATAAGGTTTCCAAGACTCAAAATCAACTAGTCTCATCTTTCTCCCCAGGAGCAGTCAGTGGGTTTGAATAATCAACCTTGCAGTTAGCAGCCCAGGGCTTAACTCACAGCACCACCAGGGCTCCCTCTTGTATTTAGCAAACCAAAATCAAACTTACTGCCATCAAGCAATTCCAACTTAGGCCACCCTATGGACCAAGGTAGAATGCCCTTGTGGATTTCCAACACTGTAACTTTTTTTTAAGTTTTATTGGCACTTTATCCACATATCCTGCAATTCAATAGTTCAACCACATCAAGAAGAGTTGTAAAATCTTTACCACAACCTTAGAACATTTCTTTTTCCCTTACTCATTGCTATTCATGTATATTTTTTTCCATTTGGCAAAAATATACACAGCAAAGCATTCAACAACTTCTATATTTATAAACCAGTGCCATTGATTAGACTCTTCATGTTGTACAACCATTATTGCTATTGACTGCAACTTATTACGAAAGTAGAAAGCCTTTTTCTCCCAAGGAGTGACTGACTGGTAGTTTCGAACTACTGACCTTGTGGTTAAGCGCTGCCCAACGCGTAACCACTGTACTGCAAGAGCGTTAAGCAGATTTGTATCTGAGGATGTTGTGGAGATGTGCCACTGAGGCAAATGCACATGGCAGTCCACTTAAAAGATTAGCCTTAGAAGGATCAGACAAGGAAGTTGGAGGTTCCGGGTACATCTACCTGGTTCTTTGGGGACTGCTAGGAAGTGAACATAGAATACACAAGGAAGGTAGGCCTGGGCCAGCTTCCTGGTTCTTGTCTTAGGGATCGGGTTAGTATGCATCCAGGCAAGTCAAGGCAAGGGACGATGGCCTATTTCCAAATACAGATAATTCAAGCACAAGCACTACCCTCCTCCCTCCTGTCACCAGGTTTCTGCAGTATGGGTGTGGGCAGTGGGTCCTACTTCCCCCAGACAATGCTGGGGATGCAGAGAGCAAGTGCAGAAGCCCAATTTGCCTGACCTTAGTTACTCTACTGCTCACCCTACTGCCCTGCAGGTCCCAGGTAAAGGGGTCCTTGTCCAGATGGGGACGTGATGGACAGAGCTAAACAATTTCATAACTCACACATAAAACCCTTTAATGAAAGGACAAGGTTAAATATGTGTATATACAGGTAAGCCCTGACTTATGATGCATTCAAGTTCCAAGGAACTGCCATTACTGCCATCGTCGTATTGTTTTCTTTTGTACACATTATTAGTAATATATACCAGAGTGTTGTGGTGTGTAGTTTGCTGGTGTTAGTATCATTCTTGTGCCAACCCCTAAAGAAAGATCAAAGATTAGATTTATAAAGATGTTGATAATAAAAGGCAATAATAAAATATTTTAAAACCTTACACCCCAAACGAAGCCTTCAATTGACATCAAAACTGACTTACAATAGAGTCCTTGGATGGAACTCCCGTAAGTCTAGATATATGAGGGAGGTTCACGAAGTTTATAGAAAAACGAAATGAAGAGATAATGGGGTTTTTCCATGAACTTTTGGAATCTCCCTCTTAATTCCCACTTCAGACAGGCATATTAGTAATAAGTTTAACAAGTTTAATGTTTGTGCATTCTTTGTACTGTGTCTTCCTCAAGATTTTAAAGAAAGTTTGTTTCCTTTGGGGGAGATATACTCACTTTACTAAAAATAAAACCTTGTTTGTGCCTTTTGAAAAATTTTAAAACCTTTTGAAAAATTCTAACACTATGGTGGGGGAGGGCAGGGGGAGATGATGAACCTGAAACTATGGGAAACCGCAATTAGTCACGAATAGATAATTATGCAGTCATGATACCAAAAGGCATGAATGAGGGAGGTCTGTCATCATGTCCTAAGATCAAAGGACTTGCCGGAGCACAATTTCTGAAACATAAAACGTATTGCTATGTTACTTTTTTTTCCTTTCCACTGTTCTTGAGAGAAAGGTTTGTCATTTGTCTCCTGAAGAGAGGAAGAAATACTAGTGCTTTCTGACTTGTTCTACAGGGGAGCTTTAAGAAGTTTGTGGGAAAATTCCATTATCTTTTCATTCCATTTTCCACCACCTCTGGAAGCACCTCGCCTGCCTTTCCTCAGCCTGCCGACAGGAGAGAAGAAGAAAAGTAGCACACGTACGTCCACAAGCCTCCAGGCCTCGCTGATGACCGCGTACTGGAGGCGGTTCAGGGCAAAGCCGTCGATCTCCTTCAGGATTCGGACCGGAGACTGCCCGATCTTCTTCATCAGGGCGTATGTTCTGTCCACGGTGGCAGGGTCTGTTTCCGGGTGTGGAACCAGTTCAACCAACGGCACATAGTAGGGTGGGTTGACCTTGTAAAAGGGAGAGAGGAAAGGAAGGAGTCAAGAAGATAGCTCTGGAAGTGTGGGGTGTTTTCCTGATCATGGATGGTCAGAGGGGAAGAATTCACCTCTGGAAAGGAATGAGCGCTTCAAATTTAGCACCCAGACTGGAAACCTGAAGGGGAGCGGGGGTGAACTTACAAAGGACAGAGAACAAGAGAGTATTTGAGCACAAAGCATTGTGGGTTTGCTCCAACAACAACAAAATCATAGCCGCACGTGTGATTGAAATTTGGAGGTGCTGGTGACTACCCTGAGAAGGTTATGGAAAAGCTCCACACCCCTGATCTACAACCTTCTTCCCTAGCAGAGGATGTCGCCACTGCCGTTTGTTTCCATGTTTCTCACCCATTCCGCCCCACAACCTCTAGAACCAGTTCTTTGCACATTCAGTAGCTGTAGGTTCCTGCCGTTCTATCAGTGGGAACATTTCTTGACAGCAGCCAACGAAAATGGGACGTTTCTGCAGCCTTTTCATAGTTGCCGCAAACACCTGCTCCCATCCCCTCCTCTCCCTCTCGAAAGAGGTCTATGAGCACCAAGGATCGTACAACATTAAAGCTCTCAGCAGCATCCATATCAAGACACGGGTCTGAGACGGAAAGGTGTCCTCCCTGGAGCAATTCTTTCCAAAAGCAAGCAGTCCTCATGGAAAGGTGTGCCCTGCCAAGAACAGCCTAGAGTCTTCCAACAGACCAGCCACTGGAAAACCCCGTGAGGCAGCTACGCTCTGAAGCAGAATCGGTTTGATGGTGCTTGGTCGTCATTCTTGTCAGAAGCCCTCTCTGAATTTAACTTGGGACTCTGCTTTTCTTTGTTTGCACTGAGAAACTCTATCCTTGATTATCTCTCCACAGAGAAAGCCCCAAGGAATAGAGGGCTCGGCAGAACCTAACTAGCTTCCCAGTGAGTCAGTGTTTGGTGAAATTAAGTCTGGTCACGTCCCCTGCAGCCCAAAGCCCAGTGATGGTTCCTCGGATGCCCACCGTGAAAGGCTGGACACATGCTACCTTTGTGGGCCTCCATCACTCGTCGGCATGTCCGCAGACGAACCACGTGCTCACACCTGAGAAGCACCAGCTGAGACCTTGTTGGGAAAGGATCTTTGGATGTCTCCGAGCTTAGGTGGCAGTCACTCTGGTTAGCTCCTCAGACAAGGATGTCAACCTTGTGTCAGATTCAAAGAAGGTTATTCTTAGTGATGATGGCCGTCTCATTGAGCCAGTTCTGCTTATAACCCAGCGCCATCGAGTCTGAGTCGGTGCCGATTCCTAGCAACCCCCGCGCCCCCCCACCCCCACGTGTTTCTGAGGCTGTGTTTACAGGAGTAGAAAGCCCCAGCAGCTGGTGGTTTCAAACTGCCAACCTTGCAGGTCGCAGCCCACTAACAGTCCACCACCAACCGGGGCTCCTTAATTCTCACAGGAGCCCAAATAGGTCAGAGTAGAACCGCTGCATTGGGATTCCCAGGGTTTTCCCAAGGAGATCACCAGGCCTTTCTTCTGATAGCCTCTGGCTGGACTTGATCCCCCCAACCTTTCAGAGAGCAGCGGAGCACTTAACCATTTGCACAGTCCAGGTGGCGGACAGTAATGATGCTGTTGCTATGGGTCGAGTGGATCGACGAGTGGACTCTGGCTCAGGGCGACCCCAAGTGTGCGGAACCGAACTAGTCCGTGGAGCTTTCGAGACTCTGACCTTTTGAGAGTCCATTCTGACTTGCCCCTGGGTGAGGACTGATCAGGTCTTCCTCTGCCGAACGGTTTTCCTTGTGAAAGGAGAGGAGGTTGGTGACCGAAGTTAAGTGACATGATGAAAATGTTAAGAACAGCTAAACTGTCCGGCCTCCTCCCGAGACAAGACACCTGCCCCTTCTGCGGCATGTGGGGGGAAGGCTGGGGCGCCCCCGCTCAGCAGCAGAGAAACAGACCGCGGGCCGCCCGGGACCCCGCAGCATGGTGCTGGCTGCGCTGCGTGGGGGTACAAGGGGGGCTTGTGTGGCTGGGAGGTTCACAGTGCTTTCTCTCATCCAGCGCCGTGAAAGGCTGGGGCCATGTGATGACCCCGATAGGACAGCGCCCGCACAGAGGCCCCATTGAGCTGCTCCACCGCGGATCAAATGGAGCCAAGCGGCCAGAGGAAAGGCAGGCCAGACTGGCCTCCTCCCAGAAGACAGCTGCACAATTTACAGTTCATTCACACCAATGGCTCCCGGGGGAGGGGAGACGGGCCCTGGGTCCTCCATCCCAGCACGTGGTTGAAACCCTTCCCCCTGGTCCCGGTGGCGTGGTGAGTTCTAAACCACCAGCTGCTGCGAGGGAGAAAGATGAGGCTTCTGACCTCAAGAGTTAGGCTTGGAAACCCACAGGGGGCAGCTCCCACTCTGTCCTATAGGGTCACTATAAATCGGAATTGTTTGGTTGGTTGTTTGTTTTGTTCTGTTGGGGGTCGGGGAGAGAGGTTCTTCCTGGGGCCGACACAGCAGCGCGCACGTAAAAAACAAAGGGCGCTTCTGGTTTACCTGGGGCGGTTAGTGCTTAAAGGTCAGTCCCCAGCACGGTGGCCAGAGCAGGCTGGCAGAGAGATGGACAGAGTGCCCTCAGGCCCACAGGAGGACAGGCTCTGGAACCAGCAGGCTTGTGCGTGTGTACAAAGGGACTTGTGGGCACACACTCCGCCCTGCCAATACCAAAGGCAGAAATAAGACACTTAAAGCTACTGCCCAGCCAAACAGGGAGACAGCAGTGCTGGCGCAAGCTGGTGGGTGCTGGCAGCAGCTCTGGGAAGCTGCACGGTTCAGAGAATCCTTCCATCCCGGCTGTGGGCTGTGGGTCTGGGTCAGCAGGGAGGCTGGACCCAGGCTGGCCTCTTCCATAGGGCAGCCATGTGAGGCTGCAGTCGAACCAAGAGATGACTCGATTGGCTGAAAGAGTTCACCAGCAACTCTGTCAGATCATCAAGCCACCCCACAGAAAATGGGGAAGAATGGGCGGTGGGGTGGGGTGGATTAAAATGCACGGAGACTGTAGAAAATGACCTTCTCTTTATTGATGTGAGTCACACCAGAGATGGACCAGTGTTTCATTCTGCATAGGGTCAATGACCCCTAACACCACCACCACCAACAACAACAACAGATTGCAATGTAAATTCATCTTTGAGATAATCATCAGTCAACTCCCAACCATTGTCAAATTGCCATGCCCTCCCTGGTGGTTTCTTGGTTGCAGTTGGGCTTCTAATCACAAATTCAAAACCGCCAGCCCCTCCTTTCTACTTCCATAGAGAGTTAGCCTGGGAACCTCACAGAGACAGTTCTACCCTATCCTGCAAGGTTACTACTGTGAGTAGGTATTGACTCCATGACAGTGAATTTGGTTTGGGTTTTTATGTTCCGGTAAAGAGCCCTGATGGGATAGTGGGTTACATACTGGGCTGCTAACTGCTAGGTCGGTAGTTCAAACCCAGTAGTCTCTCTGCAGGAGAAACATGAGGCTATCTGTTCCCTTAAAATAACAAGTCTGTGTCCTTATGCATCATCTATTGGTAGGCCACCTGTCTGAGGCATGCGCTTGGTATGAGAAAGAAGAAAATGGGTAGTATGTAATCTCAGACAGTGTATCATTGAAGAGACTTGGGAAAGTCTTATCAAAGGACTTAGGAGGTGTTTTCTGAACAAGTTGGGTTAGTTTTAAAATTAATTTTTAAACTAACCTGAAAGTAAAAATGCCGTTGGGAACCAGAAACTTTCAAGCAAGGGCCACTAGTGCTTTGTTCACTGAAGTGATCACGTGTCAAGGGATTCCTGGTCTCGGAGTCATTCTCATAGATGCCCAATCCTGTGCCACCCTCACAATTGTTATGTTTGAGCCCACTGCTGCAGCCACTGCGTCAATCTATCTTGTCAAAGGTCTTCCTCTTTTTCGCTGATATTTTACCAAGCACAATATCCTAAGAATAGCGGCGTGGGACCACACTCTCCTTTCTAATCTTATTCCGCATAATTTAATGCCCTTTTTTCAGCATGAACTGGAAGAATGCTAGAAAGGGAAAGTGGCCAACTGGGGAGTGATAATAGCAAGACTTTCCTCCTACTTAACCAGGGAATAATCTCTCCTGATAACATGCCCTAAGTATGTTAGATGAAGCGTCACCATCCTTGCCTCCCCTCCCAGGAGCACGCTGGTGGTACTGCTTCCAAGACAGATTTGTTTGCTCTTTTAGTAGTCTATAGTGTTTCAATCTTCTTGACCAGCATCGTAACACGAATGCATTCATTCTTCTGTGCACTCTCTTATTCAATGTCCAACTTTCACATGCACAGTAAGGGATGGAAAATAGCATGGCTTGGGACAGGTGCATCTCAGTCCTCAAAATGGCATCCTTGTTCTTTAACACTTTAAAGAGGTCATGTGTAGATTTGCCCACTGCAATATACCATTTGATTTCTTGACTGCTGTTTCCATGAGCATTGATTGTGGATTAAAGTAAGATGAGATTCTTAACAATTTCCATCTTTTCTTCATTTATTTTGATGTTATCTATTGGTCCAATGGTGAGGGCATTGGTTTTCTGTGCACTGATTTGTGCTTCGTCCTAAAGGGTGCAGTCCTTGATCTTCATCGGCGAGTGCGTCAAGTCTGCTTTGCTTCCAACAAGCCAAGTGGTGTCATCTGCATAGCACAGGTGGTTCACACATCTTCCTCCAAACCTGATGCTGCCTTCTTCTTCATATACTCCGGCTTCTCTGATCTGCTCAGCATAATGATTGCGTAAGTGTGGTGAGAGGTTACAACCCTGATTCATACTTTTCTTGACTTTAAACCATGTAGCATTCTCTTGTTCTGTTCTCACAGCTACCTCTCAATACATGTACAGGTTCTACATGAGTACAATTGAACATTGTGTGGGGGGTACCAGGTCCCACAATCAAATG